TAGTACCATCGTGGGTTGGAAACAACTCAGAGGCACACACAAATATTTCATGAAAATCATTACAATGATTTTTTTTAAATTTTAAGCATTACCATTACAGGTTCATTTGGAACAGAACAGATTCATGAGTGGACACATGTAAAATTGATATGGGACAAATGCATCCGTCTGTTCCTATGGGAGACATATATGATCTCGGACTGAGGGTCAACAGCAATTTGTGGGTGTTATGCTAGATATTAGATAAGCATTTAGCTAGCAAAGGTTGTATAATCCATCCCTTCCTCAGCTCTAAGAGACAAATGATTAGCAGTGATAGAAATAAATACGTTTGATTATTTGAAAAGAACATAGGGATGGTTTTGCAGAAACACATCTGGATTGTGTGCACAAAGTCACTTGGGTAATTATTCTACAGCCTGTATGTATGTTGTGTGGATACACATGTATGTGTGCCTGGACTGCAAATGGAAAGAAGGAGCCAACTTTGTCATATCGGCTTAATAGACTGTGTCTTCCGAAAGCCTTGGCTTTTTATGTAGATGGTCAGGCACATTTTATTTATTCATTTATTTCAGCAAATTAAAGTAAGCTAAATGCATTTGACCTCAGATGGCCCCGGTTTAAGTTAATTTGAGAGATAAAGCTCATAAAATTCCAGTAAAGCACATCAACAACTTCCCAGAATAGATTGAAATTGAAATGTGATTGCTGAAACATAACCTCCCAAGCCAGAGACATCATGAAGTTTTAGGGCGGCTCAGAATCAGAATATTCAGGAACAAAAATCTAAACCATACAAGAAGTAGACAACACAATACAAGCAGACTATACAAGGGACGGGGAGGAAACATCCAATAGTTTTCCAGGATTGGGGATAATCATCAGTCTGGGTTGTTGTAGGTTTTTCAGGCTATATGGCCATGTTCTAGAAGCATTCTCTCCTGAGGTTTCACCTGCATCTATGGCAAGCATCCTCAGAGGTTGTGAGGTTGGCACAAATACCCAATGCACCCAAATTTGAAAACTGGTGGAGTTGGGGGGGATTGATTTTGTCATTTGGGAGTTGCTGGGATTTAGAGTTGAGTACAATCAAAGAACATTCTGAACTCCACCAACGATGGAACTGAACCAAATTTGGCACACAGAAATCCCATGACCTGACCTTGAGTTTTGGAGTTGTAGTTCACCTACATCCAGAGAAACAATGATAAAGCTTGACCAGGCCCGTAGCCAGGATTTCGTTTTGGGGGGGGGGGGGCTGAATTTTTTTCAGGGGGGGTTCGGGGGGGGGGGTTTCGGGGGGGGGGGCTGAGTCTGAGTGAAAGAGGGTCTAGCCTAGCAAACCTTTTGTATCATTACCCCAATATGGGATATATTGAGTATGGTGATCAGATCATGATATGAATAAACATAACAGTTTAAATAATGCACCAGTAAGGCCTTTTCGCGAACCACCATGAGAATTTCGGGGGGGGGGGCCTGAAGCCCCTCAAGCCCCCCCCCCCCCCCCCCCCCCGGCTACATGCCTGAGCTGGACCAAATTTGGCACCAATACTTAATATGCCCAATTGTGAACACTGTGAAGTTTGGGGGAAATAGAGCTTGACATTTGGGAGTTGCCGTTGCTGGGATTTATAGTTCACCTACAATCAAAGAGCCACTTGAATCCCACCAATAGAATTGGACCAAACTTCCCACTCAGAACCCCCATGCTTGATGGGTCTCACTAGTGCGAGACTCCCTCCAGTCTTGCACGCTCTCCCTCTTCTGCACATGCACACCACGCTGCCCTGCACCGAGCACGCCTTCTCTTCCCTCCCTGCTTGGAGTCTCAGAAATAGCCCTCCAGTTGGGTGAGAAGCTGGCCAATCACTGCAGAGGAGGGCTTTTGGTGGGAGGATTCGCCATCTGTTTCCAAAAAGGAAGAGAAGGATAGGTGCAATGATTCTTACCTCATAGGCCGAAGTAGGAGCCTGAGATATCTGTAGGCAGGCCTCCATTTTGGGAGTGTACTCATAGGAAGCAGACATCTTGGGAGTGTAAGAGGAGAAGAGGGGAGGTGCTGGAGCTCTCTCTGGATTGGTTAGGACAGTTGGGAGGAGTTAAGCACTGAGAGGGAAAAGTGTCAACTTGACAGGAAGCAGGAGATGGGTTTTGGGAACAGAGAAGAGAGGTGGATTTTTGGTGAGCTGAGATTTTTCTGTCAGAGAGCATTTGTGACAGGCAAGTCTGCATTATTGGCCAGGGGAGTCAAAGTAGACACCAGGGTGCTTGTGTGGGTTTTTACACAAGTGGTTTGCTTTCTGGGGTCAGAGTAGTTTAGCTTTTAGAGGAGTCTGCTTAGAGTGTAGCTAATTGCTCTAAGGACAACCTGATTATTTATTTATTTATTTATTTATTTATTTATTTACCTTACTTATATACTGATTAGGTTAGTCTGTGGAACTCACTGCTACTGGGTTTATTGTAGAGTGAGTTTTACTCATGTCTAAGTCAAGTAACCTGTTTGAACTAACTATTAAGATTATTGTACCTCAGTAACCAATTAAGCTTGTGTGCCTCATTAAAGAAGATACTTATTCTTATCAATAAATCTGTTATCTATTTCAACTTTTAAAGAAAGTGATTCTAGTGATTCATTCCTGTGGAAATAATTCTAGCTGTTTTAACATCTTTACATCACAGTCATCTCAGGGAGCTAAAGGAGAGCTGGTGGGCAGGAAGAAGAGTACCTCAGGGAACCATTCTTTAATATTCCCAAATTATTTTGGGTGGTGGCAGCAACTCCACCAGAGTATACACGTTACCTCAACATACATCTAAACGCCCCGTGCCAGAATCATATTGGTGTCCAGTTGGGGGATTAGTAATCAAGATCCTTTATACTGATTCTTTTATAGTGGTGCCAGCAGGTGGGATATATTAGAAGAATATAATCTCCAGGATCCTGACTTTGTTATAATTGGTGGCAGCGGCGTGATTTGTATTCTGGAGTTATAATAATACACCCTTATTTGTTAAAATAGACAGAGAGATCATCGGTCTTCTCTGCTAAAGGGGTTCCATAGACCATCAGAAATAGATTTATGGTTTTGGACATCCTTCAATTTGCACAAATTGGGTTTTTGCAGTTGTCCATGCCTGTGTATGTAAAATAGTCAGAAAGCTCTAGTCATAAGAGAGTACTTGGTTGCCTGCTCCCATTCTTGTTTTCTTTTTTATTGATGTAATATCAAGATGTATTTGGACATACTCTGAAACCATCTTGATCATGAAGATACATTTCTTGCCTTGCAAGGAATCCCCCCCCCAAAAAAAAATACATTGGCATTTACTTATTTTTTGCATATGATATGGGGGTGGGAGTAGCTGATGACACTATTGCTGCTAGCTAGATAGACACAGTTCTAGTTAGGAATAGTTTGCATGGATTTTCCTTTGAAAGTGTCTTAAACTCGAGTGAATGGTATAATATGTTATACTTACTTTGTACAAGTTGCTGTCTACATACAGATCTAGACATGTTCCAGTATTTCTGAACGTATATTTTCTGATTATATATGAGACTAGCTGTACCCGCCATGCATTGCTGTGGTAAACCTTCCCTCCCTCTTTCTCCTCCTTCTTTTTCTCTCTCCTTCCTTCCCTCCATCTTTCCTTCTTTCCCTCCTTTTCTTTCTCTTCTTCTTTCTTCCTTCTCTACCTGTTTCTTTTCGCGCTTCCTTTGCTGTTTGGTTTCATCCTTCCTTGTCTCTTTCCTTCCTTCCTTCCTTCCTTCCTTCCTTCCTTCCTTCCTTCCTCTTTCGTTCCTTCTCTCCTTCCTTCCTTCTTTCACTTTTTTATTTCCTTCTCTCTTTCCTTCTCTACCTTTCTTTCTTTCCTTCTCTCCTTCTTTCCCTCCTCCTCTCTTTCCTTCCTTCTCTATCTTCCTTTCTTTCTTTCCTTCTCTCCTTCTTTCCCTCCTCTCCCCTTCCTTCCTTCTCTACCCTGCTTTCTTTCTTTCCTTCCCTCCTTCTTTCCCTCTTTCTCTCCCTCCTTTCTTCTCTATCTTTCTTTCCTTCTTTCTCTCCTTCCCTCCTTCTTTCCCTCTTTCTCTCCCTCCCGTTTCGTGTCGTTTTAGTTGCCCTCAGCGGCCCCCCGCAGCTCCCATGCCCTCCCCGAGCATGAGTGCTTACATCGGTCTGGTGGGCTTTCTCAGGCTGGGCTCGTGTAGAGGGAGGCAGGCAGATGGCAGTGTGCATGCGGAGGGAGATTTGGGCACGGAGGAAGCTGGGAAATGGAGTCCTTCCTCATCGTTTTCCTCCCAAGGCCTCTGCGCATGCTCTGTGTTTTTCGGGTATTGTGCGTTTGTGTTGTTGCATATTGGTGTTTTGAGGGTTGTTGGTCATACCTTGGGGGAAGAGGTATTAGCAGGGAAAATGCGGTGAGATTTCGTCCGGTGGTTTAGCCGTTTTTGACCGCCTAATTACGACCTTAAGTTTCTTATATATATAGATTGTGTCAAATAATTAATTAAAAATATTTAAAATATTTAAGAAAAGAAAGAAAGAAAGAATAGGAGACAAATGTTATATAGTATGTTAATCTATAAGGTTCATCTAAAAAATGATTAATATGTAAAAGAAAACAATCCTCATGGTGGTGGGAACTAGAAATGTTGTTTATGTATTAAAATAAATATATAATAATAATAAAAAAATCCTTAAAAAAGAAATAGATTTATCTGATGGTCTTTAGCAATCCCTCTGAAACCCCCTCATGACCCCCTCCAAGGGTCCCAACTCCCAGGTTGAAAAATGCTGAATTAGGAAATGACATTTCTATCCCAGGATCAAAAATTGTGTTGGTGTAATCCATATATAGATATTTAAAATGGGCTGTAGGATTCAGTCCATATTAGGTGAGAAAGAGTCTGATATTTTAGTGTTTGACATGCCACAAACTGCAATGGAGAAAGCAAGGGAGAGAGACTAACCCGCTGTTTGTCTGTTGTGCAGGTCACCGGCCTTTCCAGTGCAGATACTGCCCCTACAGTGCCTCTCAGAAGGGAAATCTGAAGACCCACGTTCTCTGTGTCCATCGCATGCCTTTTGACAACAGCCAGTATCCAGACCGCAGGTTCAAGCGCTCCAGAGTTGACTCCGAAGCTTCTGGGAATTTCGAGGAACCTGCAGCTGTCAAACCTGGGAGCTCAGCAGAGTTAACAGAGGAGGGCAGCAAGGCCCAGGAGTAAAGCCGCCGAACAAATCAATCTGTATATTGCAATATTATATTCCGCACCGTTTTTAGATATGCATTTGGGCAGCAGCGGGTTGGCTTAACTTCCTTGCCGAAAAAACAAAAAAAACAAATGCTGTGCAAATTCCCAGAAGCATACAGGAGATTTAAGACATTAAAGATATATAGAGATAGAGATATATAGATATTAAAAAGGAGGGAAAAAAGGAAAAAAAAATAACCCCAGCCCTTGAAAATGGCTGTTAAACTGTTACCTGGCAACAAGTACTTCCAAACAATGTAGGTGGTGGGGATAAATCTAGTGGGTGTTTCCCCCCCCCCCCCAGAAAACGTGAGCAGGTTGTAAAAAAAAAATTAAACAAAAAGGGCATTTCCAGTATGAAAGTGATCTTTGTCCAGAAATAAAACTCTGACCAGACTTCTAAAAAAGAAAAGGAACAACCCCCCCCCCCCCCCAGAATTGATAACAACCTCCAGGACGCCAAAGTTGCCTTGAAGATGGTGGAAAAGGAAAGAGGGGGTGTCTCTGTGTTTTCACTGCTGAAAACACCTTTCTAATATGATCCCGACCGCTGTCATTTGCCGAGCATAGTAATGAGACGTGTTGGTGCCAGTCAGACTGGAGCTGTCATTGCAGCGAAAATCAATTCCCCGGCACTCGAGGAGAAACTTTAGACGGCCCCAAAAGCTACGGTCAGTGCTGACCGATATTGAAAAGGATCGTGTTATTGCATTTTAATTTTTAAAAGATATATAGAGATATAGAGAGATATATAGACACACGCGCAGAGAGGCAGCCAAATGAATTCAAGGTTAGGAGAAAGAACTTCTGCAGTCGGATTTAGGGTATGAAGTCCTTTTGGGGGTGGGTTCGGTTCGTTTGGTTTGGTTAGTTCAACTTGCAATATGGAGGGGAGAGCTTCCCTCCTGTTTGTTCCTTTTTGACTAGCACAGTAGCTTTCTGCAGAGAGATTTAGACATAAGTAGTGCAGAGCATACTGGAGAGGGTCACCAGTGAGCCTTATATCAGTGCTTCTCAACCTTCCCAATGCCGCGACCCCTTAAAAGAGGTCCTCATGTCGTGGTGACCCCCAACCATAACATTATTTTCATTGCAACTTCATAACAGTAATTTTGCTACTGTTATGAATCTTCATGTAACTATCTGACATGCAGGATGTATTTTCATTCACTGGACCACATTTGGCACAAATCCCCAACACGTCCAAATTTGAATACTGGTGGGGTTCGTTTTGTCATTTGAGAATTGTAGTTGCTTGGATTTATAGCTCATCTACAATCAAAGAGCATTCTGAACTTCACCAATGATGGAACTGAACCAATCTTGGCACACAGAACTCCCATGACCAACAGAAAATACTGGAAGGGTTTGCTGGGCATTGACCTTGAGTTTGGGAGTTGTAGTTCACCTACACCCAAATGTGAACACTGGTGGAGTTTGGGGAAAATAGAACCTGACATTTGGGAGTTGTAGTTGCTGGGATTTATAGTTCACCTACAATCAAAGAGCATTCTGAACTCCACCAATGATGGAACTGAAGCAATCTTGGCACACAGAACTCCCATGACCAACAGAAAATACAGGAAGGGTTTACTGGGCATTGACCTTCAATTTTGGAGCTGTAGTTGAATCCCCAATATGCCCAAATGTGAGTTTGGGAAAATAGACCTTGACATTTGGGAGTTGTAGTTGCTGAGATTTATAGGTCATCTACAATCAAAGAGCATTCTGAACTCCACCAACAATGGAATTGAACCAATCTTGGCACACAGAACTCCCATGACCAACAGAAAATACTGAAAGGGTTTGCTGGGCATTGACCTTCAGTTTTGGAGCTGTAGTTCCCCTGCATCTAGAAAGCATGGTGGACTCAAATAATGATGGATCTGGACCAGACTTGGAATGAATACTCAATATGCCCAAATGTGAACACTGGTGGAGTTTGGGGGAAATAGACCTTGACATTTGGGAGTTGTAGTTGCTGGGATTTATAGTTCATCTACAATCAAAGGGCATTCTGAACTCCACCAAAGATAGAATTTGGCCAAACTTCCCACACAGAACCCTCATGACCATGAATTGAATCACATGACCATCAGAAAACAATAGAAGGGTTTGGTGGGCATTGACCTTGAGTTTTGGAGTTGTAGACCACCTATATCCATAGAGCACTGTAGACTCAAACAATGATGGATCTGGACCAAACTTGGAATGAATACTCAATATGTCCAAATGTGAACATTGGAGGAGTTTGGGGAAAATAGACCTTGACATTTGGGAGTTGTAGTTGCTGGGAATTAATTTACCTTCAATCAAAGATCATTCTGGACCCCACCAACAATAGAATTGGACCTAACTTGGCACACAAAACTCCCATGACCAACAGAAAATCCTGGAAGGGTTTGCTGGGCACCGACCTTCGGTTTTGGAGTTGTAGTTCACCTGCATCTAGAAAGCACGGTGGACTCAAACAATGATGGATCTGAACCAAACTTGGCTCAAATATTCAATATGCCCAAATGCAAACACTGGAGGAGTTTGGGGGAAATAGACCTTGACATTTGGGAGTTGTAGTTGCTGGGATTTATAGTTCACCTTCAATCAAAGATCATTCTGAACCCCACCAACAATAGAATTGGACCTAACTTTCCACACAGAACCCAGATGACCAACAGAAAATACTGGAAGGGTTTACTGGGCATTGACCTTCAGCATTCTGAACCCCACCAACAATAGAATTGGACCTAACTTTCCACACAGAACCCAGATGACCAACAGAAAATACTGTCTTTGGCGACCCCTCTGACACCCCCTCATGACCCCCTGGGTCCCGGCCCCCAGGTTGAGAAACGCTGCCTTATATGTAGAGGTGATATTGGTGCAAAAAAGAGAGAGAAAGATATTATTCAATAGGATGTTTGTTTCTATTCTGTTCTTTAAAAAAGAAAACTTGAATGAAGGATTCCCCAGTCAAGGTTAGTTTTCATTTATTAAGAGTGCTCTTTAAAAAAGTGTTACAGACATAGTGCAGGAGGCCTTTTGTTTTGAACCGAAGTTCGAGCAATTTGATCTAAACTACGAATCCAGACATCCTGCTCTTTGTCTCTAGCGAAGCAAGATGAAGAACAATAAAAAACGAACAAAAAAAATAGTGTTAGCTAATATTTCTTTGGGTTCTTGATTTTTTTTTTGTAAGGAAAAAAAGAAGAAGAAGAAGTGTGTTCTATATTTTTGCAGATATTAGCTTTTTCTACTAATTGGCCCCTCCAAATTTGATCTGCGGCTTCCCACCCAAGATGCTTTGGAGAGATGGTAATGAAATACATAAGTGAGACAAAAGAAAATGTAAAAAAAAAGTTGGAAAACGAGAGGAACGGAAGGAGAGAAGGCAGAGAAAAAGTAAGAACAGCACTGAATGGTTCTTACGCGAAAGATTTTTAGGCTTTTCGAGGACTTCCTTTACGATACATGGAATCGGCACTGTTTATGATGATAGGGAAGGAGGAACTTCTTCTCCTAACAATTCAGATGTTGAAAATAAAATAGAAGATAGATATGAAAAGTCAATATACCCTTATAGGCTGGGAGCACAGAGTAAACAAAACAAAACAAAACCCAGGGCCTTAAAAACGTCAGCTCTGCCTTTTGCAAAAAACAAAAGAAAACTTCAGAAGTTTCGCAAAAACAAAACAAAAACCCTAAACTGCAATCAGTGTAAATAAAATTCATAGTGCTATCCTGAGACTGGAAGGAAAAAAAATATTAAAAAGGAAAAGAATGGATTCTCAGGCTAATAAGGGATACGGTTTGCGTACGCTGTCCAAAAAAGTAGAAACGATTTCCCCCAAATTGTCAGCGAAACTCAGCTCACCGCGAAACTTGGACGGAAGAAGGCAAGCTGCTTTTCCCATTTCTTTGAGGGTTTCTTTTTCTTTTCTTTCCTAGTCTAGTTCTCACTGCCTTACTTAAATCAAATTGATGAACTTAATGCAACTGTTTCTTACGATCCTCGGTAAAGGATTGAAATGTAATTGAAGACTTTCTGACTGTAGTAAGCTTTAGGATTTAAACTGCACTACCGTGTTTTGGTGACTGTGTTTCGGTCGCTTGCTTTTCGTGTGTTTGCGCCGCCTTCAGTATCTTAGCGAGGAAAAAAAAAGAGGAAAAAAAAAAAGGATCCCACATTCCATTTTCTTGCACTTTTGGAGCTCTTTTCAGTATTCTTTTGTGTCTTCTGAGCATTTTCAGATGCGACAGGCAATAATTCCGTTTGTGACACTGGAAACTTCTCCCCCGTTCTTTGTGATGTGTGTGTTGAATCCATTTTGGTCTGGTGCTACGGTCCCTCTCTTTTGCCTCTCTGACATCCCCCCCTTATTTTTTTTCTCCCCCAGAACATTTGTAACTTGGAATACAAACAAGTGACAGGAGCAGTGAAACATTGTCAGTTTCTGAATATCATCGTGCTTCTCATATCTAAACATGTCAAGTTTTTTCTCTGTAACTTCTGTAGTCTGTGATATTGGTCAAAATACTGTCTACATTCCTACACAAAAGGAAAAAAAAACCTATCTTGGAGAAAATCTGAGATCAATAGAGTAGAGGATTTTGTTGCTATGCTTGTAACGATTAGGAAAAAAACTTTGTATTTAAAAGTTTATTCTTGGTCATTATTTATTATTATAATACATCAGTTGACAGAACTTTATTCTGGTATAGAAGTATTAAAGTTGTTTCCCTCCCGAGCAAACGACTTGTTTCCTTTTCCTTTCCTTTTTGCTGTTAGAATAACAATGTCTTTGAAGCAGAAAAATTTTACACAATAAAACTACCTCTTGTGAGGAAAAACAAGAGTTTTCCTACTTACTTACATTAACGAAACCGCCCAAGCCTAGTATCTATATCTATACAATTCCTGTGGATTTCTCAGATCCAAAACAACAAGTGACGTGAGTAAAGTCACAGTTTTTAGGCACATACCTGAAGTAGATTATGCTAAATGTTTACTTGACTTCCTTAATATTCTGACAAAATCTATACACAGTAGGCTTGTTTGATCAAGAAAAAATTTGGTTCTAAACTCGCTTCGTTTCCAGGGGGCGCCAGCGTTTCGAATTTCTGAGGACTTCCGAAATTTAAGATTTCAAAATTTCGAAATTTACGAAATTTCTTTAATTACGAATCGATTCGTTAATGGCGGACGCGATTGCACAATGCGCTAAAAACACCCCCAAACGGGACAGGGGGAACTTCTGAAGCATCCCTCTCCCTCTGTTGCTGACTGTTGGTGATAAAACTTACAACTAACAGAAACCAAATTAAAATAAATTCAGGATGAAATTAAAATACATTAAGTTAGTAAAAATACAAATTAAAATCACTTAAAATTAATAAAATAATAAAATAAATAATAAAATAA